CTAAGAAATGAGAAAATTAAGGAGGAAGAGATGGTGAAAAATGTATTTCACCTAACATGCATTTTAAGTTAAATTAAATTATTCTATTAAGATGTTGAAATTCAAATTCTGGAAGCATTGGATAACTAGTAATGGCACCTGGGGATTCTGCAGCTTTTACCCATACTAGAATCATTGGCTCAAACAAGTAAACTGTTGTATGAGAACTGTAAGAAAGAGGTGAAAATGATGTTAATAGTTGAGCTGATGGCTGCAAGAACTGCTTTAAGTCAATCAAAGATGACAGCTCCTGTTGAACATAAACCCATGACCAAACTTCTTTTTTGTCAATTAAACTTGTTTTATGGCAATTTTATATGTGTATATAGTGCATTCTAGTTATTCTCACCCACTGCTCTTTATCTCCCTCCCTCCCACACCTGTTATCCACCCTCCGACCTCTATGCTAGTTCTTTCCCTACATTTGTGTGTCCTTTTGTTTTATGACCCATTGATTATAACCATTGCCAGTTCTGTGACCACGGAACTAATCCTTGGAGCCAAATTGGCTCGCTTTGGGTATACAACTGAAGCCAGTTACTGCTCCTCCTCATGAGTGTATTGATAGTCAGTAGGGAGGGATAGGCCTGGTGATCCCTCCATGATCCATGATTGGCTGTTGACAGACTCAGTCTTGTTCTGGCCTAACATAGGAAGTAGCATCAGCTGCTATGAGATCACATTGCATTGTTCTTGTCACACTCTGAAGCCAGTACTCCACTACCCCTCTCTGTTGTTTGTTTTTTTGCTCATCTGGGGGGGCGGGGTCCTGCCACCCAGCTCCTGAATAAATCACACACAGAGGCTTATTCTTACTTATAAATGTCCGGCCTTGCCTTGGCTTGTTTCTTGCCAGCTTTCCTTAAATTATCCCGTCTACCTTTTGCCTCTTGGCTTTTACCTTTCTCTGACTTCTGTAAATTTTACACTTACTCAGTGGCTGGTAGGGTGACTGGGTGGCTGGATGGCTGGCCCCTATCATCCTCCTTTCCTTCTCTTGCCCTTTCTTTTTCTTCTCTCTCCAATTTCTTCTCCAATATATTTTCTCTGCCTGCCAGCTCCATCTATCCATTCTCCTGCCTTGCTATTGGCCATTCAGCTCTTTATTAGACCATCAGGTGTTTTAGACAGGCACAGTCACACAGCCTCACAGAGTTAAACAAATGCAGTATAAACAAAAGTAACACACTTTAAAATAATATTCTGCAACACTTCTCCCCATCTTCTTGCTCTTATTCTTTCTGCTCTTGTTTTTGAGTTGTTCCTTGAGACTTCGAGGGGGTGTTGTACATGTCCCATTTAGGGCTGAACACTCAACTATTGCTTATTCCTTAGCCCGTTCAGCAACCGTGAGTCTCTATATTCATTACTATTCACTATCCTGGCAAGATGTTCATGGGACAGGGAAATTGTGCCAACTGAACTATTTAAAACTCTTTTCTTTGGGGTCCTTCCACATGCAGTCTTGATATATTGACTATTTCTGTTTTATCATGCCAGACAAAACAACATTGAATTCTAGCCAAAGATAATGTGTTTTGTACTTCCTCATCTTGGCTGATATCCATGGCTCTCCCTTTGGTTACTGATTATCTTTTTTTTTTCTTTTCTTTTTTTTTTTTTTTGGTTTGTTTGTTTGGTTTTTGTTTGCTAAAACCAGCCAATGGGTTTTTTCTCAGGGGCAATGTAGAAGAGAAAAATGATCCAAAAGGATGCCTGTTATTTCAAATTAAACTGGACATGTGGGAACATTTGAAATTACACAGTCTTGCACTCTGGGGACATGAGTGTAATATGGTACCTAGGCTCACCATTGACTAGACCTGGAAGATACTGGAGCTGGGTGTGCAGAGTACCCATCCCTCTCTTAACTCCATGTCCACCATTGCCAGTGGTTAGTCTCTCTTCTTCTAGGGAACAATCATAATTGTGTCTATGTCTTTTCATCTGCCCTACTTGGCTTCAAATGTCATCTCCATGATCCTCCTCATTATGACCTTATATACTTGGAAACTAAGCGAAATGTGTGTTAAGAAGTTACATTTTCTAAAGAAACAACTTCTTCAGCTCTGAGTAAACACAGGATATTTGAGGCTAATTTTGCCCACAGTAACACGTCTCAGCTCTTATAAACCAACTTTGCTTGGTGCTTATTTTACATTTGGTAATAATTCTCTCATTTTCTTCATGCAACCTTTTGTCAACCCTTAATGTTTACTGCCCGAGTATGTAGAATCAAAACTTACCTGTGAAATGACTAGACAATACTGTATTTTTTTAATATAGTGGCTATGAAGCAGGCTTCTAAAAGACAAAGGAATACAGGAATAGGTGGACTGAGTGAGCTTTCAGAAAAAAGCAGAGAAGGTGAACAGATTACTAACCCAGCTAAGGCAAGATTTGTGCTTTTTTAAAGAAAGCCATATTTACCAGTAAATATTACACATGTACTTTTCAATGCCATTCATTATGCCATACTTTAAGATGAAACCAGTATTCTGGCATATAAACACCCCTCTTATTCTTTACACTGTATTCTTCAAAAAGAAAACAATAACTCTATTCATCTTCCAAACTAACTGAAGCAGAAGCAAACCACACAATATTTGTCAATTATCACCCCAAGAGAGGATTCTCCAGACTCATTCATGCAATAGAATTGTTTTTGAAGATACCCCCTTCCCCTGATGCTTCAGCATTCTCATAGATCCAAATCACTTCATCAGCAGTCCACGCTAACAACATTCCATCTTCATGTTTGGATAATCTGAATTTATCAAGGTGGTGTATGTGTGATTTTAAATGAGAAATTTTTATGTTGTTTTTCAAACCCTAGCACCAATTAGCAGTGGCTTGCATCTTTCCCAACAGAGCAGGGCTTGCTGTGGTTGAGTATGTGGCTGTGGGGCTTATGCTGGGCTCCCTAGTCTGAGCAAGGCTGCTACACTCACCATCAAGCTCTATTACCTGCAGCCCACAGGTATGAAGGTAGCTGGAAAAGACTCACTTTATAATTTTCCTAACATTCCTTGAAGCCTAATACTCTAAGGTGGGCTCTGATTGATGGTCAATCAGTTCAAGACTGGAAAAATTTTAAACCTCTTCCTTTATTTTATTTTCCACACACAAATAGAATAATGTGTTTTAAGTAACAATGAACTTTAACAAGCAAAGCGAGCAAAGAAACAAACAAAAAAAATGGTGCTTCCCTTTAAAGGCTGTCATTCCCACTAGGATGTCATTTCCACATTAAATAAACGTACAAGCAGTTAAAAGATATATAAAATCTCCCGCACGGGTTGGAAATAACAGTTCAAGAAAGTGTATGTGTATGATAACACATATGCAGGGCATGATTCACAGTCACAGAGAAATAAGGATTGAGGTACCTTGGCATTGATAATTCTAGATGAGCATAAATGTCAGCATCAGGGCAGCTTTCAGAAAACTGAACTTTATCTTATTTATCACAAATATGTTTCAGTCCTAAGTATGGTCTGGCAGACTTTTCACTATTAGAAAGTCAAGCATTTGCCCATTTTATTTCAAGCCACAACAGATATTATTTATATTTTAAAGCAGTGGGAGATAAGGGTTTGCTCAAATGAATTTGTAGGCACATGTGATTTCTGAGATATCTGTATACACATAGTAGAAATGTTTGTTCTCAGACTATGGGGAAAAATCACCAACATATTTGAGAGTTTCATGTTTTAAAAAGGTGTTGAAGAGAGCCTGTCTGATTATCTGAGTTCCAATTTAGCTCAAAATGAAAGGCAGAAAATGGCCTTCAGTATTGCTGCTCCTGTTGCAGTAAGCCTCATCTAATACTTCTCACACTCAGAAAACAAAGCATAGTCCGAGTGAAGCATTCGCAGTCCTCCTGGCAAGTGCCACGAGACTGTCTCTTTGAATACTTGTGTCAATTTCATAGATTTCTACAAGCAGACGGTTGTTTTTCAAACCAGATTTTCATGACAGCAACCCAATTTTTCCCTCTTCAAGTAGGATGGATTCATCTCACAGGTGACAATGGTGACTTCTCTGCTTAGTTCAAGCATGACGGATTAAACCTTAGGAAGACCAGTAAATACTGCCTTCTCACTTAAAGAGACTGCATCCAAACAGTGTTTGGGACCTTAGTTACATTTGTAGCTTGAAGTGGCTGTAGATGTGTGGTGGTTGTCTGAGCTGATCAAGCAGCCATAATTGATTGAGCCAAGCAGAACAAGCAGAACTGAAGGTTTGGATGCACCTCAAAGCTTCCAGGGTGTTCCTAGCCTCAGCAATATACTCACTCAGGATAGTTGCCCTGTACAATGCCTGGCAGAGGCCAGGTACTTTGCATATATTTTCTAACTATACAGGAGCAAACAGGGAGACTTAGATGCCTCCTCAGACCATGCCAGGTGATCTGTTGATATTTCTGGAAAGGAAGTGACTCTGACAGGAAGAAGAGCTACAGATTGAATTCAAAAAAGCAAAATCAGCAAAGAAGAGAACCAATAAAACACAAGGAAATAATACAATAAGCCTAAATCTGTAACTGGTGTGTAATATTAGAAAATGTCTGTTGTAAGAAAAATGGTGCTTGCAAAATGTCTCTGAATGCATTTGGAAACCAGAGTATTGAACAGGAAACATGCCCCTGGTGCCAGGCGTGTAGGATGACCACTGTCCACACTGCTGAGAGGGGTATTTGGGATGTGGATTTGTTCTTTGAGTACTGTGTTTGCATCTATAACTGCATAGCTGTGTTCTTCTGGTGTTTTTGTTGATTTGTTTGTTTTGGACAAAATTAGAATCTAGAATCTGCCCATGGATATGGGAAATAGGCTGAATCAAATAAAAAAGTCTAAGTAGACTGCTCTCACTTCATTGTTAATGCTGAATCTGCTTGATGAGATCTCAAATCTTCCACAACCACATGCATATATTTGTCATTTATCCCCTTTTCTCAGGTGCAAAGAAGGCTACCAAGGAGTCCGTTGTGATCAATTTCTGCCGAAAACAGACTCCATCTTATCGGATCCAAGTAGGTCAAGCCTTTTTCTTCTATGTAATGGGATGTATAGGCAGTCTTGCCTGAGTGAAGGTCTTAACTGGGCTGAAGGTTGTATTTCATTCCTGCATCTCTGAAAGCTGCCAAGGATAGAAAATACGGGAGCTATCCCTGCTCAAAGCACAGTCGGGATTAACTCTGTCTAACTCTTCCACCATGTAAGATTTAGCCTTCTGCCTAATGCCAGCCCGCACCTCTGCTGGTAACCAACTTCAGGCAACCCCCTGCCTTAGTACCCAGGCTGGCTCCTAATATCACTCTGTTGCAGAAAGAAGGATACAGAGAAATAGCTCATTAATTACTCTAAAGAATGTTATGAAACCGCATTTTCATATTGCTTCTGAGACTTTGTCTGGTAATTTGTGATAATGGTGAACTTATTAACATTTACCTTACTGAAATAAGAAAATATGTGTACAAAATTACTTAAGATGTTTTCAAACAGACTTTAAAAACCCAGCTCCAGTCTGCCCACACTATTTTCATATCAAGGATTATAATACTAAGGAAATAATTTTTTTCCTTCATGAAAAAATAGCATTTTTTCAACCCCAAATACTATTGGTTATGAGTTTCAGTTATTATATGAATTTAAAGGCAACTTTATATGTAAAAATGACCAGTTCTGATTAAAAGCAAAAATTTTTGTTTGCCTCTGACAGTTATTTCAATGGCTGCCACAAATGAATCATCATTACAGAAAGGAGATTTGGATGGACTCAAAAATTTATTTTAGGAAGCATTTTATATTAATTATAGCTAGAGGTGGTCTTTTCAGGCCACCTATATTTTATAACACAAAGAACATGTGTGACTGTCTTCAATATCTTGTCACAATGTGTGTATCAATTTGTTCCAAAAATTTCTAGGCAAATTATCTTGGCTAAATGCAAACTTACTTAAAGTAATGAAGTTTTCCTTTAATTTCATTTAAATGTGTTCCATCTTGGCAAGGCATTCATCCTGTCATTGTTTGCAAACGTCCCTTCCCTGGAGGAGGGTGAAGGTTGCCAAAAGGCTAGCAGCCAATCCGGATCTCGGTGAAATGTGCAGTACCGCTCTCTAGACATTGTCAGAAGCCCATGGTGTCAGTGGGCCGCTCTGGATTGTCTTCTTCCTGCAGTTGCGGTGACTTGCTGAGCTCGTGTCTGAAGCTCTATTTAAGTTGCTCTTGGACACATACATTTGGGGCATCGTGAAGCTCACATCAAAAACGAGCTTGGTGATTAGTTTTCTCTGCCCCCCAAAAAAGCTGTTTCCTAAAGTGTCTAGTTGGCATTTCATTCGTCATTCTCTTTTCTCTCTGTCGGTATTTCCCATTTTCTCACCTCCTTTTCTCCTTCACTTCTTTTTTTTTTTATTTCCTTTATTTATTTTACATACCAACCGCAGATCCCCCTCTCATCCTTCCTCCGGCTCCTCCCACCCCCTTCTTCCCTCCCCCCGCCCCCGACTTACCCCCCCACTCCCCCATCCCTCCTCTAAAAGGGTAAGTTCTCCTATATGGGACATCTAAGCCTGGTCCATTCAGTTGAGGCAGGACCAAGGCCTCCTGCTTTATTAGAGGTGAGCAAGGTGTCGGAGCATAGGTAATGGGATCCAGAAAGCCCGCTCATGCACCAGGGACAGATCCTGATCACGCTGTCAGGGACCCCTCAAACAGATCCAGCTACACAACTGTCTCCTGTATGCAGAGGGTCTAGTCCAGTCCCATGCAGGTTCCACAGCTCTCCGTTTAAAGTTTGTGGGTTCCTTTGAACTTGATTCGGTTGTTTCTGTAGATTTCTCCATCACACTTGACACCCCCGCACCCTCTGACCCTGCTCATGTAATCCCTCTTCCCTCTCTTCAACTGGACTCCCAGAGCTCAGCCTGGTGTATGGTTGTGGATCTCTATATCTGCTTCCATTAGTTATTGGATGAAGGCTCTATGATGACAGTTAGGGTATTCATCGATCTGATTAGTAGGGTAGGCCAGTTCAGACACCCTCTCCACCATGACTAGTAGTCTAAGCTGAGGTCATCTTGGTGGATTCCTGGGAATTTCCTTAGCACCAGGTTTCTCCCTTAATCCATAATGTCTCCCTCTATCAAGATATCTCCATTGCTCTCCCACTCCTTCCTTCCCCTAGCTCGACCATCCAGTTTCCTCATGTTCTCATCCCCCATCCCCTACCCTCTATTGCCCCCCTGTCCCCAGTTTACTCATTGGGATCTCCTCTGTTTCCCTTCCCAAGGTGATCCTTACATCCCTCTTAGGGTCCTCCTTTCCTAACTTCTCTGGAGCTTTGGGTTGTCGTCTGATTATACTTTGCTTTACATCTAGTATCCACTTATGAGTGAGTACATACCATGTTTGTCTTTCTGAGTCTGGGTTACATAACTCAGAATGATATTTTTTAGTTCCATGCATTTGCTTGCAAATTTCATGATGTCATTTTTTTTTTTTTTACAGCCGAGTAATACTCCATTGTGTATATTACCACATTTTTTTTTGTCCATTCTTTGGTTGAGGGGCATCTAGGTTGCTTCCAGGTTCTGGCTATTATGAATAATGCTGCTATGAACATAGTTGAGCAAGTATCCTTGTAGTATGCTTGAGAATTCCTTGGGTATATGCCCAAGAGTGGTATCATTGGATCTTGAGGTAGAATGATTACCAAATTTCTGAGAAACTCCAATACTGGTTTCCAAAGTGGCTGTACAAGTTGCACCCCCACCGACAGGGGAGGAGTGTTCCCCTTGTTCCACATCCTCTCCAACATAAGCTGTCTGCAGTGCTTTTAGTCTTAGCCATTCTGACAGGTGTAAGATGGTATCTCAGAGTCATTTTGATTTGCATTTCCCTGATGACTAAGGATGTTGAGCAATTTCTTAAATATCTTTCGGGCATTTGGGATTCTTCTGTTGCAAATTCTCTGTTTAGACCTGTAGCCAATTTTTTTAATTGGATTGTTTGGTATTTTGCTGTCTAGTTTCTTGATCTCTTTATATGTTTTGGAGATCAGCCCTCTGTCAAATGTGGAGTTGGTGAAGATCTTTTCCCATTCTGTAGGCTGTTGCCTTACCTTATTTACTGTGTCCTTTGCCTTACAGAAGCTTCTCAGTTTCAGGAGGTCCCATTTATTAATTTTTGCTCTCAGTGTCTGTATTACTGGTGTTATATTTAGGAAGTGGTCTCCTGTGCCAATGCATTCTAGGCTACTTCCTACTTCTCTATCAGGTTCAGTGTAGCTGAATTTGTGTTGAGGTCTTTGATCCACTTGGATTTGAGTTTTGTGCATTGTGATAAATATGGATCTATTTGCAATCTTCTACATTTTGACATCCAGTTATACCAGCACCATTTGTTGAAAATGCTTTCTTTTTTCCTTTGTACAGTTTTGGCTTCTTTGTCAAAAATCAGGAATTCATAGGTGTGTGGATTAATGTCAGTATCATCAATTCAATTCCATTGGTCCACATGTCAGTTTTTATGCCAATTCCAAGCTGTTTTTATTACTATAGCTCTATAGTAGAGCTTGAAGTCAGGGATGGTGATACTTCCAGAAGTTGCTTTATTGTAAAGGATTATTTTAGATATCCTAGGTTTTCTGTTTTTCCATATGAAGTTGAGTAATGTTTTTTCGAGGTCTGTGAAGAATTGTGTTGATATTTTATTGAATCTGTAGATTGTTTTTGGTAAGATTGCCATTTTTATTATGTTGATTCTACCTATCCATGCTGTGGGATGTTCTGTGTGGCAAATGTGTTGCTCTGATTGGTTGGTAAATAAAACATTGATTGGCCAGTAGTCAGGCAGGAGGAAGTATAGGCGGGACAAGAAGGAGAATAAAGCTGGGAAGTGGAAGGCTGAGTCAGAGATACTGCCAGCAGCTGCGATGACAAACAGCATGTGAAGATGCCGATTAAGATACATCAGGTTTGACCAGCCAAGACCCCCTGAAAGGTCTCCGATGACACCAAGGCCCAGATGATCCAACATCCAGAATAGTTTGAAGGCAACTGGCTCAGACAATACATAGGAATATACATATTCCATAATCCTAAAATTTTCTTTGTGTCCCCATAAGATACAGCGCCCCCTCCAGCAGGAAGTAGTAAGAGAAGCTACACCCAAATTCCCAAATTATATGTAATTTTACTTTGTTAAGGTTAAAACCTTCCTTTTTGGAAAAAAAAATAAAGGGGGAAGTGCTGTTGTGGGATGTTCTGTATAGCAAAAGTGTTGCTCTGATTGGTCAATAAATAAAACACTGATTGGCCAGTGGCTAGGCAGGAAGTATAGGCGAGACTAACAGAGAGGAGAAAAGAAAGAACAGGAAGGCAGAGGGAGTCACTGCCAGCCGCCACCAGAACAAGCAGCATGTGAAGATGCCAGTAAGCCACGAGCCACATGGCAAGGTATAGGTTTATGGAAATGGATTAATTTAAGCTATAAGAACAGTTAGCAAGAAGCCTGCCACGGCCATACAGTTTGTAAGCAATATAAGTCTCTGTGTTTATTTGGTCAGGTCTGAGCAGCTATGGGACTGGCAGGTGAGAGAGATTTGTCCTGACTGTGGGTCAGGCAGGAAAACTCTAGCTACATATCCATGAGCATGGAAGATCTTTCCATTTTCTGGTATCTTCTTCAATTTATTTTCTCAAGGACTTAAAGTTCTTGTCATACAAGTCTTTCACTTGTTTAGTTAGTTACCTCCTGAGGATATCGCTCTGTATAAATAAAATGCTGATTGACCAGTAGCCAGGCAGGAAGTATAGATGAGACAAGCAGAGAAGAAAATTCTGAGAACAGGAAGGCTGAGTCAGGAGAACCTGCCAGCTGCCACCATGACAAGCAACATGTAAAGATACTGGTAAGCCACAAGCCATGTGGCAACTTATAGACTAATAGAAATGTGTTGCTGGAGAGCTTCTCTCCAGGTCCCACCAAGCCCCACAGTCCCACAACCCACATATAAAATAATCAC